GGAGTCTCTTCCTCTTGTGGGGGTGACCTGGCTGGGGTGGGTCCCCCTTCCCCGGGCTGGGTCTGGCTTAGTAGGGCCAGGCTTTTCCCTGCGAGCTTGGCCACTGCTGTGCTGTGGGATGCAACAAAGGAGCCGGGGAGGCTTCCACCTTCCCAAGAGAGCACTGGAGCCGGTGCAACGAAACAGCATCTGCCTGGGTGTCTGCATTGAAAAATAAAGCTGCAGTTTGTGCTCATGGGTAGCCGTGCAGTGAGGAAAGCCATCCTCCAATTTGGGTTACTTATTAATTCTAATCTCTAATATTTGCTGTTTCCTCTGGCAGTAAGTAACCCCTGGGGCCTCTTTTTTTTTTTTTTTCCCTCCTTGTCCCAAGTTGCTCTACCTTCTGGAAGTGCAGTGTTCCCAAAAAGACCGTGGGTCAGTTCCCTCTTTCTTTGCTGCAAGTCTCCTCGTGCAGCCCTGATAGCTGTGCTGTGTGTGACTACCCGGAGTGTTATCTTTTAGGGGTTTGATATTCAAATAAGAAGAATAAACTGGCTGTGGGCATTAGCCATGGTCGCTGCCTGCTCAGAGTGGAGGTGGCTGAGGGGGGCTGCACAGATGCAACGTGTAAGCTTAGTCTTTATCTTGGCTACACCTAATGTGTTGTCTGTCTCTGCATGCTACAGCAGAGACATAATGTGCAGAGCTCCCTAAATGGCTCACCCATCTGAAAGGTTTTGCATCCACACCGCTTGCCCGAGCGTCTGCTTATTTTGAGTAGCTTGGCTTTTGAGACAAGCGGCTGCTGTTCCAGGTAATGACACCAGGCACCAGATCAGTTGTGTGTATTTCCAGCTATGGCAGCTGCCTGTGCTCCCGCTGTTCAGTGGTTTGAGATAATTTTTTCCATATCTTTAAGATTTTTTTCCCCCATACTGCTATGTAAAAGATCAATGTGAGCAGCAGGAATGATGAAACTGTACTTGAAGTTCAGCCAAAAGAACAAACTAAATGGGAGGCGGTGGATGATGTTTTGTTCGTCCCTCAAACCTACCAGTCTCTTTACAACACAATATCTAAGGGGTTAACATTCAGAGAGAAGGGGGAAGTCAGCATTGCTGACTCACTTGTTTTTTTGTGTTTGCGCAGAAAAGCTTGGTTGGGGAACTGAAGTTCTTGTGTTATTTTTGCCACATGTTCTCTCTTCTCTGAAAGCAGCAAATAACTGAAGTACTTAAATAGCACTTGCAGTAATTATGCCATGGAAGATAGGAGAATGAGAATGACTTTCTCAGCTATATTCATGTGCTCTGAGCAACAGAATAGGAATGAACAATTAACAGTGCTGTGCAGCGTAATGAGCCTTCCAGGATTATCATCTCTATTTGTTTCTGTTGGAGAGTTAATGAATGTCTAGAGTGTGGAGGAGAAACACAAATGGTGTTTATTGTTAGGGTGTGCTCACCTGGCAAAATCCACAGTGCTCTCATGACTGCGTGGTGCTTTAGCCTGTCCCCAGCCTGTTTGAGGACGGCTCTTGCTGCCGAGGCCCCGCTGTGGGCACTGGCCCTTCGTCTTCAGGTATGGGTTCGGGTGCTAAAAGGCAGAATGGCTTATGGCTCCTGAAGGACTTGGGGGGGTGTTGGGGTGTTGGTCTGCCTTTGTGGTCACTATTGTAAAGAATTCCTTGTCCTGTACAATCTGGAAGAGCTCTGATGAAAACCTTATCAATACATTTCACAGCAGACTTCCCCAGATTAATGCACCAAAGTGTGACTTTAAAGAGTGCTGGGGCCAGGCCAGCTTGGACTTGGAGAGCTTCTCTGCTTCCTGGGCTGTGCTCTCTTCATCTTTTTTCTGCTAACCTATATATGCACTGATTCAGGCAGAATACTTTGCATTACTCCTTTGCACGTAAGCCCTGACTGCTGTAAAAATAATCTTGCGTTTCAGAACCCCTCGGTTTAGGTCCTTTGTTGAAAATGTTCAATGTATGTAGCCCACTGAAGGAAGCCAGAGATAAAGCAGTAGGTTAAATCTGAAGACTCAGAAGAAAGAAGCAAATCAAGTTTGTTGTACAAAACCTCTGACTAGTTTCAGAGAATAATTGAGGACTGTAATCTCTGAAGTCATCCCTTTGGCTGTAGGCAGCCCTGGGGATATGAGTGATGGAAAAAGGGCTCGGTGCCAGAGCTAGAAACCCAGCAGTGCTGGGTGACTGAAGGCTTTGGAAAAGGTGGTACTCCACAGCTATGGTAGGCTGGGTTGTGTGCATCTAACAGCCAAGTTTATTGACTTGGAAAGAGCTGGGGAACACTTGTGCTTGTAGATCAGCCTTCTCATGACCACCTTTACTCTGGTCTGGCTTTGCTGCTTGTGCTCAAAAACACAAGCTTTTCTTCCTCTGCACAACGCTGACATAAAGCTCTTGGCACAAGTTGCTTCTGAGTCTCCAGGAGTGTTGAAGTGACATCCTAAAGTGCGGTTTTAGGGTAGAAGGGATCCATCTGAGGAGCGCAGGCAGTCGTGTGTTGGGATGCTCCAAAGCGTCTTCCCTTTAATCGCAGTAGCAGGGGAGCGGCAGAGCCCACCGTGGGACTGATGTGAGCGAGCAGAGTTTTGCTTTGGTTTCTGGGCCTTGGTTTGGTGCCAGCAATCAGAGGAAAGGACCTGATTTTCCTTTTTCAGCTACCTTCACAGATCTCTCTGGGCTCTGTGATCCCCTCTGGAAGGGGTAGCAGGATGAAGAAATTCCCTGTCCTCTGCCAGCGTAGGCAGTAGCTGTTTTTCTTACAGCGGTCAGCAGTGGTAAAAAAAGAAAAAACACCAAAAAAACCCGAACAAAAACAGTATGAAGGAGCACGGAGGAGCGTGTAAGAGGTGAAGCGTGACCTTTAAGCATAGTCTGTCAGAGGCAAAGTGTGACCTTTTAAGCATAGTCTGTTCTCAATATTCCCTTTGTGCCTCTCCTGGCTCCTCACCCGCTTGCCGAGGGCACACGTTGTCTTTAGGTAAAGCCCACATGCGCAGTATCTGGGGTGTCCTGCCAGCTGGGTCTGCGAGCAGAGATGCATGGCGAGCTGCAAGTGCTTGTGCTTGCCGCGAGCGGTGCAGAGGGGTGGCTATCTGCTGGTGCTGCCCTGCCTGTCACGGGGGAGCTGCCTCCAGTGCTGCTGGCTCGGCCACCGAGGTGCTGGCGCTTTCAGTGGGGATGGGATGGCCCTTGGAGCACAGGCAACTGAGCTGTGCTGTGCTGTCAGGACCAGAGCAGCAGGGGTGTATCTGGAGGGAAAGGAACGAGACGTTGTACTGGATCCTTCTTCAAACCTAGTGTTTCATCCTGATGAAAACACTTGAAGTGAGCCAGATTCTCATCTGGACTTCCCAAGTTGCACAGTGAGGCACTCTGATGTTGAAGCCGTGGTGTAACCAGGGCTGTCAGGGAGCAGAGCAGTTCCCATGGGGTGTAGTCGTAGCACTGAATACTCTCCCGTACAACAGGAGGAGAGCTGCTGTTAACTCAGCTTTACGGGTTGGAAGGAGCCCATTTATGGCCTTGAGCCGTGCCTGTTGACAGCCGAGGCTGGGTGTCCTGCTCCAGCTGTCTGCAGGGTGTTTGCTTTCCTAAGCTCTGGGTGTGTGACTGTCAGAGGAACGTGAACCAGGCGTGGAAGCTCTTGTCCCCCGGGCTGTGCTCCTAATACCCGGTACATGAGCTGCAGTTCTAGGAAGACCTGTCCTCGCCTCTCTGAACCTCCCAGGAATTTAACACTCCACTCGCAGACTGGTTGCCTGCCTTCTCAAACCCAGCTAACTGCCAGAGCATAGTTCTGCATTAGGTTTGATCTCCCCTTGGATCTAGTGAAGCAACTCAAATTCAAAAATCTTAGTGAAAAGGTTTCCAGCATTTTGGGAGCTCATTACTAGAATGTTCTTGAAATGTGATAGCCAGCTAGTTATTTTATAGCCCTGCTTCAAAATAAAGTGAGTTTAATGTTCCAGACAGTTGTTAATGGGAGCTTGTTTCCCTGCGTGTGTGCATTTTTAGTTAAAGTTTTTGAGGGAGTACACAAGGAGAAGTTGCCTTTCTTCTGGAACAGGAGCAGAGCAGTAAGGGCTTGATCCAGAGAGGGGAAGAAAAAACTAATTTTCAGTACTTTCTGGGTTAAGGCTGCAGTCTACTTGGCGGTACCCTTTTCTGTGTGTGGTTTTTGAGCTTTTTCCAATGCAGTTCCTTTATAAGGAACGGGCTGTTCAGTCCAGTGGTGTTCCTAGAAATCCATGCCCAGAGCTGAGCTCTGCGGCTCCTGTGGAGGCTTGCTGGAGCTGGCTCCTTCCGTGTAGGGCAGGGAGAGTAGGCTGTGGTCTGGTTAACCATTAAAACAGATGGGCCTGTATTCAAGCCTTTGGAAAGGTGTAAGTAACTGTGCTGGTGCTGGCCCTGCCTGTCACGGGGGAGCTGCCTCCAGGGCAGCCAGCACTTGGTACGCAAAA